CTACCACGAGGCCACGGTGGCACTGCCGAAGCATCGATCAGCAGCGCTTACGAGCCACTCAAACTTTGACCACCCAGATCTCGTCTGGGAGGTCCCCGTAGCACTTTTAATCTGCATATTCGTAATCAGCATTCGAGGCTCTATCGATGTACCTAGGTCTCGAAGTTCCATGGGAAGTTCAAACCATTCCCTTGTGAGTCAACGATGTCGTTGATTTCTCCGCCACTGTAGACCACCCTGTTGAGCTCCTTCCGAACCCGGTAATCGGGGGGTCAGGTGACACACTTGGATATTCCGTCTTCTTCAGGTACTCAACGCCCTTCGATTCCAAGTAGGCGAGAGTTTTCCAACGCCCTTCGATTCCATGTGCTGGCACCCAATCCTGTAGCAGTACGAAGTTTCCAAGATGGTACAGGCGACGACATGAAGGCAGGAATATTCTCCTCGAGCTGTACGATGTAACCGTCAGCGTTCACTTTCAGTCCGGGATCCACAAAAAAAGCTCTTCTCATTCCAGGAACTTCCGGTCCATACCATCAACCCGCGCCTTGGCGACTGCGGTGAAGATGATATCCTGGACCGTAGCGACGTTGTCGGAGCTGCTCGATGTTGGAGGTCTTCCAGATCAAGAGTGCTGTCAGGTAGCTGTCCATGGGTGACTCCATACAAGAAGTTTCGCAGCTGTTTGGAGGTGACGTGAATTCCATAGGCCTTCTTCAGTTCGGCTGCCATTAGCAGATGACGTCACAGTTTGTGTATATGAAGGCGATGGACAAGATCCTGCTTCTGTTTGTCGAGGAACATATTGGGTATCTTCCGCCTTGGCACTTGTATCCGCTTCTTCTCTATGGGCTGCGTATTTTTCACTGATATATCGCCCGAAGTTTTTTTCTGCCCCTCCCCCCTGTATACACTGGGTCAAGTTCTCGAGGAGTACGACCACTTCCCCTCCTTCCACCTCAAATTTCCTTCCTTGCTATGAGAAATTTTTCCCCCTCATGCTGTTCACCATCTTGCCCAACTTTTCCCCAACTCCTATCACTCTTTCCGGAATTTCCCACTTTTTCCTCCAGAATTTTGCCCACAGCTCGAAGGAAACGCCAGCAACCAGAAGAAATTATTCACAACTGGGAAAATTTCTATTATAGGCATGGACCCCTTCCTTCACTGACCATATACGACCCCTCTCACTGAATATTCCCCAGCATAGACGTGCTTCTGAGCCAATACACAGCTGAAAAATCTGTCACCAACATCAAAAGAACAGCACATCGCTTATATTCGTAGTGTGACCGTCTCACATGGTTCAGAAAGTCTTCATTGAACCTCTAAAACTCTTCAAAACATGAGCAATATACTCGCACAAAGCGAAACAAAACGAACAGAGTGCCCATTGCCGCAGAAACCACAATGTACCGGGTGGAATGGCAGCACACACACAGACACACACACAAACAGAGATCAAACTTTTATCAGAATAGAAATCTATCAACTCAACAGCGCTGGCAACAATGGGCAACTCAAGTGAACAAAAAAGAATTAGAATCACAGGAAAAAGGCAACGCCGGTTACAATTACGAAATTCCGCAAAGCTTCAACGAACCAATCGTCATAAATGAAGTGAGCAAACATCGATCATTCACCCACTCGATTTTTTACATTTATACAACAAGAAAAAAAAACATTAATAAAAGTAAAACCAGAAACAATTACGGAATAAAAGCCCTACGCAAAGGGTGAAATGTCATATTAAAAGCCCGTTGATTGGAAAGAAAATAGCCTATATTCCTTTATGCTTAGTAGATCATGTCTCACGTGGAGCTCCATAAATAAAGTTTTCTTCTGCGTAATATTGCGCAGGGTTAGGATACCTGAAAGAGAACACATTTGAAGATAAAGGGTGAAGACTTTGCAGGTGATAAACCTCTATGCGACATGGCCTGTACAACGACTTGTTGAGGCCGGCCGACAAATCAGTGTTATTACCCTTTCTTACCAATCTGGCACCAATTTACCAGCCCAGGGCTTGCATGGCGCGGGCAGAAGGGTGTAGTGGCAAATAACACACTTACCACACAAGCGCTTCGGTGTTCAGACCCGGGATCGGCTACCGCCCGTTCCCACCAAGCTTTCTACCCTCCTGGTATAGTGAACGGGTACCAGATTCATCTGGAAGGATAAGAATGTACATCGGCTGAAACCCGCAAGGTACTGTATTGGCCACAAAGCATTCTGTGAATCGCCACACTTCTGAACGAAAATAAAAGCGTGCCGCATCCAGTAATTAATTGACTCTATAGGGGAAGGCTTATCCCTTTATTGGAAAATATACAACAAAAAAAGTGGGGAAAACGAACCTGTACTGAATAAAATCGGGCACTGCCGGAACATCCAAGTATGGGAGAGCAAGAACGTCACGGTCTTTCACATGGATTAGATATGCCTATAAAACCTCGGTATGACTCGAAGTTTCATGACACTCTGATCAACCACATGGAGAACGTATTAACCTTGGTCGGATGATGAGGCACTTGCTTCGATTTCTCACGCAATGCCTTCATTTCATCCGCCTTCGCACGTAATTCTTCCAGTGATGGCAACATTGCCAACCAATCCACTTTCCCTGGATTCTCAGTGACGCTAGAAGAACCAGCTGCGACAACACTGTCAGGGCGTGAGGAAGTAGTGGAAGACAATGGACGCGAAGCTTGTTGCGACTCCTAAAAAACAATTCCTTACCCTAAAGCAACGAACGTATGATAAAACAGAACTCAAGATTCCAGTGAGCTAAGAGTGCAATCCTTATAATGCAAGACTGTCTATGGATCGCTTCGTCGCAGAATGGGTAAGAGAGCAAATGAAAAATTGGATCTATGGGAACTTCAAAAGCGCTGCATATGCTGGAAATTTTCGATGCGCCATTCAATCTACCTTTGCTCTGGCCAAGTCCAGCAACACTACAAAGACCTAGCCAAGTCCAGCATTACTACAGAGACGACCCGGGCTCATTCCCTCGTGCATTAGTTCCAAATATTCACAGTCAACGTAGCAGCTCCCTCGTTTCGAAGGTATTAAACGAGAAGAAAGCCAAGTGGCTCTTCTGATATGTGCATAGTGATTTAGTTTCGCTTGTTCTAGCACACTGTGGAATTTCAAGTTAATCCACACACTAATCAACTCACGTCTTCCAGTTCCTCCTTGATTGGAGCAACTCGTGGTAAACGAAGGATGAAACGACCAGAAACAGAAGATACTAAAACACGTACAGTAGATAATGTTTCTGGCATAATTTGCTTTTTGAGGATTTATGCGTGTAAGAATAGAAGGCGAAAGTGGTTTCGTCCAAATTTAGTTTGGAAACAACATTGGGCTTATCTATTACACTACAAAGTAATATATTATACTACAAAGTAGTAAACTTTAACAAAATCGCATGAAAACTTTTCTAATGCGAGTACCACGAAACATCAGCGAGTGAAACCACAAGCAGAGAACGCGGCATAAAAAAATTGGTAACATAAGTCCACTGCTTTCTCTGCCAAAAAGAAGAGAAAGAAAGGATTGGGAACCGTTTCTTATAGAATTAAATGGTATTCTATCACTAGAAGATCCAAACGCGATCCATAACTGCGCTCTACCACAGTAAATCACAGAAAAGCATGAGTTTCCTGCTTTCTACTCTATGTCACGGTCGTATCAAACACTTGTGCTGGGGCGCACAAACTGTGCGCCATACACGATCAATCTGCTAGAATGATCATCGTCACATTGTCCAAATTGCTTTTTTACTCCTAGTTTCAAAGATAGGACAGCGTATGTAAAATGGTTCACAAACTGAGAAGTTCACGAAACATTAGCAAAGCGTTGCCTCAAATGAGACGGGGATCGGAAAAGTAACAACTGTGAAAGATGTTCCACTTGACCATTTGGGTCGGACATCAGCGGTCCTCTTGAGTTTCTCAGACCTCTAGTGCTTGCAATCACAACACTGCGCTTTTCCATTTTGAAGTGGACGAGTTCAAGTCGAATCAAACCGTTCGAATCGATAACAGAATAAGACGCGACTCAATTTTCTAGCCCTCCAATATTCAGAAAAAGCCACTAGGGCTGCCACTTTAAGGGCGATAGCAAAAAGCGAGAATCTCAGCTGGAATATCAGCAGTTTCAACAAGATTTTGTAAACGCACAATATGTTACAAAATGAGGAAAAACCAATGTGATGAGACATCTTATAAACATGGTTTTAGAAAGGATAGGACGTAGACAGGATAAAGGATAAAGCGGCTCATTGTAGTGGCAAGTAACTGAAGGTAGAAAACGCTTGCAAACAGGAAAGGCAGAGTGGTTGGCAAGGATTACAACTTAGCGAAATCCTTGAAACCATGCTGCGTAATACGCTCAAAACAATCTTAATCTTTTGCTGTGTCATCTCATTCAAAGGCTGAATAATTCAAATAAAAAGAGGAGGGAAACAGCTGAAAATGTTATATTTTGGCACTGAGTCAAGCAAACTCTGTCATCGTTCCCAACGCCCACGGAGAACCTGATTATCGAACAGCTTCTTTTTACTATTTGATTTTAGCAGCGCTTCCCTCTTGTACGGCTCGATTTGATAATTCAGCTTCGTCCGATTCCCGCGAATTCTTTCCAGCTTTTTGATATTTTCATTTCTGTGGTAATATTGTCTGTTTGACGAATATGCAACTAAATGTACTAGCCTCCTGGCGATATAGGATCTATTCGAACGTTATAACGCTGAAGCAACACATAACCAATCAATTACTCAAAAAGTCTATAGTAAGCCATCTTCAACCTAGCCAACCACATTCGCTCTAATGAAAGCGCACTCAGTGCCCCTTAGATCCTTGGGTTCTGCTAACCTTTCCTCTTTACAGGCTTTCGCACATTGATTATAATGATGCGCACCGCAAGCGACAATTCAAGAATATTTCCCTCGTTCTCAACTACCTTCAACAGTAGGACTAGCAAGACATCGCAACATCGTTTCCAAACTTTTCGCTTTCAATGCATAACAATTTCGAAACTGTTGGATTGTTTTAGCCTCATTTAGAACATTACTTCACATGGACATGAAAGAGAACCTGAGTAGAATTTTTCGAATAACGTATCAAACAACTTACCAGGAGTAGATTCACTAGCCGAATCTTGAGGCTTTTGGATTTTACGTTCGTATTTCCGCTTCTTTCGCTCAGGTTGCGAGTACGGAGTGCTCGTTGATGCTCCACCATACAGTTGCATAGCGTACTGAAGTAAAATTTACTTAAAAAACACGACCGTGATAGACTTTCAAACTGATCCCTAAAATCAAGCGCTCAACAAATAGTGACAAACTGGCTAACCTCCTCATCTTGCTGCTCCCGTTTTACCCGTTCCTCGTGTTCACGAATTGAAGAGTCAATGCTCATATGCTCAGGGAGGTTCTGACTAAGTTCAGCAACCTGTAAAATGTGATCATAATTTTTTTCTGAAAATTCTCTATGACCCGCGGCTGAATATTCTCCAGCTTCCTTCTTGCTGAAGAATGGTAATACTTCATCTCTTCTTTGTAAATTAAAATGTTTGGTCAAAGGAAAATGAAGCCGTCAAAAACCAGTCACCCAGCTCTCCAAGCAGTATATTTCGCTGCATTGCCACCACAACTTTCGACCCCATGTTCCACAAACGTACAGGTTCGCCATATTTTGCCAATCTGGTTCGCCGCGGAAGAAGGGGCGTGTAATGCCGGATGGATTCCGCGTAGCCCCAAACCCGTTTTCCACCACCTGTTGAAGCGCGAAGGCGACATGACTGTATCACATCGCTATCAGACGTTTCCCTCCAATTCTTGTCGCTCACCTCCTCATGGACGGCGTGATGGGTTTGGCGCAGCGCCAACCGAACCAGACTATATCTCAACATTCACGATACACTTCAATCACCATTTCCGTTCCACCTCATACTATCATCCGTTAACGACCCTTATCATAGTTTCCGGCAGGGCCAAAAACCTCAGACCCGTTATCAAGCATCTTAATCAAGAAGCAGCGATCCCTGACATAACCCACTCCATGAAGACACTAGGAAAATTCCGAGGACCATCACCAGTAACCCATCATTACCCTCAGTAACCAGACTTCCACGAATCATGCAATTACAGACGTAATCATTCAGTATACTTTGTGAGTCTCCCGAGTCGATATACGCTTTATTGTGCAGACATTTCGACAAAAACTGCCTTCTTTGAAAATTTTTACAGATGTTAACCCTTACTCTCACCATTCCCATGTTGGTTTACATGCTTAAAAAGGCCCCAAAGTAAAGGATTTCGGCCGAAATTTCAGCACAAAAAGCCCTTATAAGTAGAGGTCTTTATCAATCTCGGGAGATTCACAGAGCATAGTGAGCTGTAAACCAGAGCTAGTTTGGGACACCGTTTCAGTGACAACCCTTCACAGGCTACAACCTCCCTCCTACTAGAACCTCGACTTTGTTGTTATTTTTCTTTTGTGGCAGAAAGGTTAGTCGGTAGAACATCTACCAACGGCAAACGTTCCAACCTTATCACAGTCGCGAGGCTCAAGACTCTCCTGACTGGTTCCTGAGTTTGGCCACTAAATAGTAGGGCGCCGCTCCGTCCGATTCGCTGTAGATGGAGGGGCGGGTCATGTGGGAAGAATTCGACGCGGCACCAAACCCAGTTTTCCAGATTGGAGCGACTAACCGGCAAGGCTATATCATCTCTTTCATATCAGTTTTTCCACCAGTTGTTGTCGCTCATCCGCTTCTACAATACATACAGAACCGTTTGGCGCCGCGCCAAACTCATTCCACCGGACACCCCTTCATCCGCAGCGAGCCTGACCATATGCCCCATATATTTAACTAACCAATTGAGGGGCTTGCTTTGTTCTCAGCATTGCACCAGCAGGACTATTTTCCTTCCCGGTACTTTTCTTTGGTTATGTGGAGCAGCCTTCACATTTTGCAAAACTGGGGAATCGGAGACTGCACGGTTGAATATACGAAAAGGAAAGCCTAACTCCTGATCCAGAGAATAGGAGCACGAATCGGATCTGATCGACTGTCCCACATCTTTTGGTAGAGCTAATTCTCTCGACCGATACTTACGGTCGTCATCCGGGCAGTTGATTAGGTTGTCAAGGGTCGCAGACGCGGCTGCGGCGCGTCACGACCGCGGCGATCAGCTGTTTCCAGCCTATTTAGCCATTTTCTCCCTAATTTTCATTGTATTTTTTACTTTTTTCCGAGGTAAGTTATTTTTGTCTTCGGAATATATTAGGACGTGATTTCTTTATTGTCTTTGTAACAAATTGTTTTTGCGAGTTGTTTTAAGATTTTTGTTCAACTGTTTACGGAATTGTTCGCGAAAATAAATCTCAGTCATAATTCACTTTGTGAAGACAAGGAAGCAACTAACCTTAAGAAAAGCAGCCAAAAACAGTGAAAATTAGGGAGAAAATGGCTAAATAGGCTGGAAACAGCTGATCGCCGCGGTCGTGACGCGCCGCAGCCGCGTCTGCGACCCTTTGGCCGCCTAATCAACTGCCCTGATGATGACTGTATACTTTCGTTTGCGCGTTCCGCCGACTCGAATAGTTGACAATTCTCCAGTGTTGCAAACTATGAATGCTGCTTGCATCCTGCCAAAAAGATTGAACAGCGAGGCATTCAGTGGTATTTAGACCAAGATCATGAGCAGCGTTTAGGAACGTCCGACGACGACGATATGGGTTGAACTTTAGACCTTTGTAAAAAAATTTCCACCCAAGAATGTCCTGGCACAAGAGAAGTACATCAAAAGCTGCTCGGAGCGCCTATTAGCATCTGCAACTGTTACTTTTCTCCAAACGTGTTCTTCAGTGAAAGCAAGCACTTTGATCTCATGAGGATTTGCAATCACTGAACCCATCCAATCATTTAGACTGTACAGGATCCATGTGCCCGATACAGCCGATCATTCGGGGAATCCACGTCCCGTCAGAAGTCGCAGCTGAACCGGGAGCAAGGATTCCAGGTTGTAAAGAAAGCTTTATTTCAATATTACTGATGATATCGTTGAAGAAACTCGCGCGAAGGCACTGAAAGGACTTGATTCGAAAACCAACCAAGTCTTTTGTGCTCTGGACTGCCTTTCGCGCAGCCAGTACCGAAACTGTGGGAGTACCGGGAGAAGCCAACGAACCAATAGCAGTTTTCGTGCGCTTCATTCCGGATGGCGGTACACTTGCTGGGTTTACTGAAACTTCCACAATAAGTAAACATCTCCAACTGTGATAGTAATGGTTAATGGGGAGTTCGACGTACGGCTTCCTTCGTCAAGTTTCCGTTTCCCATTCCGCGGATCATCCCCACGTTGTGCTAGATCGGAGCCAACAGATTGCGACTTATGTAAAACTCCATTACTGGAAGCTAACTCTTTAGGAGCATAACTTCCATTTTCGGGTGAAACTGTCGCACTACTTGTCGCGCTTCCTGAAAAACAAATTAAATATTGGAAAAAGTAGAGAGCAGCAGGAAGTCCGACCTGCAAGACCTGCAGACGTGACACGTCTATTTACTGGTGTGCACGGAGTAACTCTACGTGATAATTTGGCAATGCTAGGTGACACCATGTTCGGTGTTCCATTGGCAGAAGACGTGGCGCTTGATGCTGGCCGAACCTAAACTAAGCTCCAATTATGTTGATCATAACCCCCAAAGGTAAGAGAAAAACACTTGCCTCGACCAGTTTCTGCCATGCCTTTATTAAAGCTCGACATCGCTTAGAAACAACAGGGAAAACATCCGCTGTCTTTTTTCGTACCTCATTCACTGTGGCCCCGACACGTGTGGACTAAAAGCCGAGAACTACATTACTCGAACGTCAGTTGAAAATCAAAACAAAGAAGAACTACAGAGAACTAAGCAAGAGAGGAGGAAACATAAGTGCAGCTTTACTGATGAACTTTTCCCGGGGAAACTCCATCTAGTTGGACTCTACTTCTGTGCAAACATCTATTTTGCCATGAGACCGCGTTCTAGCTTGCGATGGTGACGAAATGCAGAAAAGCAGGTTTGACGAAAAGCATTAGATATGTATCGAATTGAATAACGAAGATATGCAGAAACGACGAATTGCAGAAAACCGATACGTACCTAACCTTTCCCATCAATTCTGCATTTCGCCACTCCAGAAATTACGATATGCAGAAATGCACGATGAAAAGGTATGGATAAGTATCGATCTCCCGCAATTCGTCGTTTCTGCATTTCTTCAATTCAGCATTTCGTCACTATATGAAGCTATGAACACGGCCTAACAACTGCATATAACGAGATCTCTTCACAGTCGTCATGGAAACCTCACGAACCCCTTCTCCCTCCCCGCTAAGGTATTCTGTTCCCACACCATCTCCGCTACAACCCTGCCTTCCTATTCGTTTGGAATAAACGTCAATCAAAGGTGAGTGTCTATTTTGTCTCAGAATCTTTCCCTGGATTAACCATGCCCGTAGATATGTGACATGTCCCGACCCACATCAAAACTGCACGAAGGGGGAGAGGCGTCGGCGAAAGCGATCAATAAGCGAGAGTCAGAAGAAGAGAGCATGAAAGAGACGCATAGGCCGCGGTCGGGTACCCCGACTTCAGTCCGGCCGAGCCGGGGCCGAGGGTGGCGACGGCTCGACGAGGACAGAAGGATGGGGGACCCTACGCGATTACCTCGAGAATTTCCTTAGTGCTAGAAGACTTCTCGAGCTCCGACAGAACATCACATGCAACCTCACTCTTCCCCTGAAATAGCAAGGCTGAGATCCAATAAGACCCACCCTGCATACACTACTGTGAACACAAAGCCAAAGACAAACTATAACTACACAACAAAAAGCAATATCACTTGTAAAACATTATATAAAGCCTTTATTATTGCGCTAGCCACGGTGGGTAATGATGTTTCCTGTATCTGCCGTCCACCGGACCAGCAAGATCCACAACAGAGCTTGAATTTGAGAACAAAACTCTGGTCCTCGCTTACATTTTCGATGGCGGCGAGGAGATGTTGCTTGAGCTGCTCAACGGTCAGTGCGCAAGATGTCATGGGCACTGCCAGCGAAATCGGAGGATGAGTGGCCACAGCAGCACACGCCACCATCCAGCTCACGGCCTCACCAGGCGTCGTCTGGCCGCGCGCGCGCGATTGCCTCCTTATATACTGGTGGCCGCCTCTCGCCGCCGGTGATTCGTTGGCTGAATCGGCCCTCGTCCACGATTCGCTGGACACGCCTTCGACTCTGCCTGCTGAACCGCTCGCGCCGCCGATGACACGCACGCGTCAGGGCGATCGTCGATTCTTCGCAACTATCTGAAATATCATGACATCATTCGGGGGATTTCATCCTTCATTTCAACAATCAACCTGGAATAGAATGGTGCGTTCTCAATTTGTTCATAAACTGACGTTTGCTAAAGAAATACGAGGTAATTTGTCCGGCTTAAGAGGGTTAGGTGGTCCGTTAGGAGCACACATTGCCAGGGAAAAAACTCTACTTTCATCCGTTTCGAAGCTTCTCGACCTAACATCTGCTTTACAGGACCAATGTCAGATTTCGGGATCGATAGCAAGCCGAAAGTACGAGGAGTGAGCGCACGTGGAAACAGAAGGAGAGGAACTCAGGATCAAAGAAGTGACCCAGTCAATGACGGGTTTGACGACACTGGTATGTACGGACCATCTTGTCACATATTATTCACCTATCAGCGCGCGAATCCTCTCTATTTCTCTCTTCTCGTGGGTTTCATAATGATTACTTCTATGTGCTATTCTTGTCACTCCGGCCAACATACCCGCATTGCTTGCCGAGGGCTGGGTCTGTAGAATGGTCGCCTCACCGGGAGGAGTACCAGTGTCAGATTTCGGGATCGATAGTGAGGCGAAAGAGCGTGGATTGAGCGCAGTGGGAGCAGAAGACGAGGAGTACCCCGTCAGTGACGGGTTTGAACACTGGTACTTCCGTACGAACCATCTTCTCATATTTTCTCACCTATCAACACGTGATCCTCCCTGTTTCTTTTCTCTTGGGTTTATAATGAATTTTACCTCTATGTGATCTTCTGTGACGCTCCGACCAGCTTACCTGGGATTGTGGTCGAAGGCTGGGTCCGAGGAACCGTTCCCGCCTCACCGCGAGGAGTAGATCAACCTGAATCTTTGAGGCTTTTATAGTTGTGAGCTTGGATGATATGAAATGTTATCAGTCTGTTCTAGATGCATCTGAACTTAACATTCGAGTAAAAGATCGATCGGGTGATGACGTGGTTGTTACGAGTAAAAGAAATCGTATTGGAGGATTTTTCAAGGTACGTTTTATTGGTGATGTGTAGCTGGCAGGAGCTAACTGGCGCGCGAAATTACTTTCTACTTCTCCTGTGGCTAACATCATTCGTTATAGGAAACCCCCATCAAAGGTCTTAAAGAAGGCGCTGCAGACGCGCTGAAGCGTCCGCTTACAGGTTTGGTTACATGTGCTATGATTCTTTTTATTTCATTTATTGTATTTCTATGTAGTTTGATTTTATTCGGTGGATTCTTAATACTCTCTGCTTTTAAATAGGTCCTGTACTCGCAGTCAGGGAATGCCCTTCTTCGGAGTATGGGGATCGTTTTTGCCCTAGTGAAAGGTTTAGCACAGTTCGGCGACGAGGAGGGAGCATTTTGCGCTGAACGCTGCGACCTATTGCTTTGTTCGAGCCACCAAGTAGAGGTTCGTGAAATCTTTCGAAGCCGCGAAGTGATAGCAGTCGAAGTTTACGAAAACCTCTTGTCAACTCTTGTAAAGAAATGAACGCCCAACAAGTGGAAGCAGCGAAAGCAAAAAGTGCCCCTCCCTCGCCGAACTGCGCTTTCCTCAAGTATCTAGCGGCAAGTTCAAGCACGAACAGGGATAAGTCTGTACAGCTCTCCTTCAACATTGGGATAAAGGATATTTCATGGTATTTTTTGGTGACTGCTTGTGCGTAGCTTCTCTGACGCTGAATCCATGGCTGAATTCCTGACAAAGGGGAGCAAAATCACAAGTAGGCAGTAACCTGGCTCACTGGTCATGGACTCACTGTGGAATTCGTAGGAGGTTGATAACCAGTGTAGCACTGGAGAATCAAGGTTCCGTGGCATTGGAAGGATCTTGTCAGCGAGAAATGCTCTTCTTCCTCGGTTCTCCTGTACCCCGATTCTCCAGAATGACACGTGTACATTTCTTTTAGTGAGTTTCCGGGGCAAGGTAAGAAACCAACCCTAGAGGGTGTCTCGTGTTGGTGATAGCTATCTGACAAATGTAATTTGAGCGCTTGAGCCCTCAGACGAACTAAACTTGCTGCTCATGAAAAGAGACCAAAATTACTCGTAGACAGGAATCCATGCCAGTGTTGTGGACCCCCCCCCCCGTAGGAAACTAGTAGGATTAGCTCCTAACCTATGGTGTTTCGTAGCTCCTGACCTATAGCGTTTTCCCAAGTCATACAGTTGGTGATCTGCTAGTAAAAACCAAAGTCATACAGTTTGTGATCTGCTAGTAAAAATCATTAGCTGGCTACATACATGCATGTTTTCTTCAATTTTTGGCCCGCAAATTCTTTCCTTATGGCGGCTGCGCAATACTCATGCCGGGTTTGCTATAGTTTTTTGACTAAAGTTGTCGTTACGCACAGTTCTTAACCCATCGCGGACCGTAATATTGCCTTATTTCGTTGTGGACAGCCGTTCTACGTTCATCTCCCCGCCTTCTGATCGATTTCATGAGCAGCAATCAACATTCGGTCAATGGTTCTACAAATATTGAGCTATAGAAGTTGTTTCCGGTTAAAATAATGGGAATTGAATTGGCAATTTCGATGGACGGCAATGCCCTATGAATCACATCTGTGCTTCTCTGAGCTGTCTCGTGCCGCCCCACGTGCAGCACGTGGTCCGCAGTGAGGCTAAAAAATTGTGTTGTGGGAATGGCGGCCACTGAGTGAGTGAGTTATGGGGTTTTCCAGAATCTTTTTTTTCACGTAAAAGCTGTAATTTGTTTGAAGTGTCCATTCTGCTCCTTTGACCAACCAGGGAATATAAGATGGAGTCCTGCTATATAAGTTCATTTGTATTATAGATACTTTCCGACTTTCGGGCTTTCACAAGCTCACCCTTCCATCACCACAGGAATACTGGATTGTCGAGTACTCCTTAGAAAGAACTAATAATTCTAGAAAATTATTGCTAGTGTTTCAGTCGACGAGGGTAGATATGGCTTGATAAGCAAGAAGCAAGGCTGCGTCCATTCTTTGCGTGACGTTTTGACCATTTTCGCGAGTATTTTCGACCTTTTGGCGTGCGATCGTCTTACGCCTGCCTAAACCACATCGACAAGCTATTCTTTCTTTGTAGCACACAATGCTCAAAACGCTGGCGTTCGCTCAAAACGCTGGTGCAATATGCATACAGCCTAACTGATCAGCAAGCTCAACTGTTCGAGTTTTGAAAGTATACTTGAGTTCCGAAAGCCACGCGCTACCTTCGAACCGTGAATTGTGCAACCCCATATTGCATTTTGTATAGCTTTTTCAACTATGACCAAGTTTTCAAAATAATTTCCGTAATGATTAGAGTTCTGGTCCATTTTTGGATCCTTTTTTGTTTAGATTACTTGAAATTTCGGTGCTAGGACGTATAACATCGAATTTTGAAGAGCCAAAAGATTGAGATCGTTTTCGATAATTGGTTAGACCACATTCATGTTTGCGGACGCAGCACGTTGGCGCATATCCTAAATGATTTAGTCTGCTAAATGGTGTGAAAATCATGGCGTGAAAAGCCGAAGCGTAGCTTTCAGCACTCATAGTGAACCAAACAGCTCTAAGTTTTTCGCTACCGTCAATCCTCATTCCGAGTTTTCCATCCTGGCTTTCCGCGACATCTCGCAGATCATAGTTCCAGCAGGCGCGAAGTTCGTTAGCGCGTTACATGCTTGGTTCATTTTTGGTAGAGTGGAATGCATGTCTTCTTAATAAACTATTCATTCTTCTTTGGGTTTGATAGTGTTGCCTAGGAGCCGCTAAAAACAGCGTCTTAACGTGGTAAAGTATCTCCGATAATGTGCTGTAGTGATTATGAAGGCTCCAAAACATTTCCCTATCAACTCAGCACATGAAACGAGACTTCCATAAGACATTCCATGTGTGAATAGCTACAATTTTCATTTTCACCGTAAAGTTATCCATTTACATAAATGGAGCGCATGAAAGATTTTTTCACGTTTGTATTACTGCTTTTGTCATAAAATTGATCTTATGGTGAAAGAAAATGAGAATATATGAAATTTCTGCGCCAAAGTGCATTCTGTTCAAGACTGATTTTAAGGAATATTCCGACGCCCTGGATCTCGAGCCGGTAGAAAACGAGAAGATACTGAAGCAAGCGCCAGTGCTGGTAATGGACAAAGTAAGTCTTTCCAATAGGATCTTGATGGCAAGTCGGCTAAGGAGGGGAGCTGTTTTGATTGAGAATTTGGTTCACCTTCGAAGCTCGTTCTCTAGTGGAATTGGGCGAAACGTCTCATTATGCTGGTTCCCGCTGCTGTTCAGAGCAATCATCAACCAAATACCGAAATCGTCGTTCTAAAAAGTATCTTGTATATAAACTGTTGAAAAATTCCTTATCCAGCCCAGATGCGATCACCTTCCCCGCTATCTCAGTGGAGGGATTCTCCCAACATGCTTTCCTGTTTGGAATGGGTCTTCAAAGCTCTCTTAGCCGGCTTCCGCCGATCTTGATTCAGCGCTCTTCCAATTTTTATCGCTCTACTTGTTTGCCCATATAGAGTTGCTTCGTATTTTCTTTTTATTTGTTTCGTAAATGCACCTCCTTTACGTTGCTATGTTGGTTTCATTCTGTCGGGCTTAATAGGGGCACTTTTCGGAGAGGACAACCTTAGCGGCATCCTGGACTGTACAATTTGCAAGTGTTCTTCCACTTTTGTTCTTTCTTTTTTGACAAACTATGCGCTTTTTGACGCTGATCCGTATCGCAGTTCTGAAGTTCCCGAGCGCTTTTATTGCTACGCAGCGTAGAATTTGTTCATAGGTATCATTTTGGTTTCTTCAAAATGTTCGATTGGGTCGATAGTTGTTATCGAAATATGGCCCTTGATAGTGACATCGCTCAAAAGCGGCGTATCTCTGATCTTTGATGCTCGATCAATAACCCTGTCTGTCATGAAAAAGAGGCCAAGGCAGAGCTCTTCATCTTTCATGCGCTATTCCTCTGAAGAAGTAGTGGAGGGGCAAGTTCGTTCAATTACAACCGGATCAGTGGTGATTTCAACAAGGCTTTCCTCAAAAGTGCAAGGGTTTTTATAGACTGAGAAAAGTTTACGTTTTTCACAACCAGCGAATGACGATGACTGACCCCACGAGGGATCCCTGCATTCAGCTTGCGACGCATATCCCGATGCAGTAGAGTCGAACTGGCTGCCCCGAAGTCCCATAGATAACCTCATTTCAACTTGGACGGTCACACACACGCTTCTTTCCATCCAATCATGTTTGGCTCTTTTTATTGAGCAAAGCAAAGTGGGATCAATTCAGAATAGTTTTTACCTCATAACTCGTTCCACGTTTTGTAGACTCATTCAAAACCTCTTCGATTAGAAAGTTCAGTAAGTAAGAGCGGGACTCGTGCAAGTCTCCCGAAAGGTGAGGTTACCATCAACTCGCAAGCGGTATATCTCACCGTAGGGACGATAAATATGTTCAGTTATGTTGCTCTGACCTTTTACTATCGTTTTAATCAACTGACTTTCTGAATCGTCAGGTACTAATGGGTTAAACAACAGGTTAAACAACATTTAGTGTGGTGAAACTTTCACAAAACAAGAAAAGGTCCTGCTGCACCGAAATGAGGATCTCGAAGATCGGCAGAAAAGTCTTTCGTAGGTACTACACTCATATCATAGGTCTAGTCTCGACCTCGCTTTACTGATCTCAGAGTGGCAGAGACTCAGTGTAGCTGGGTGACCTGATCAAGAGATTTGCTACGCCGGTAAGAGCGGTTTATGCTGGAAAATAGGCATGTGCGTACACTTCTCATGTGGGATTTCGTCGTTCTGATATCCTTGCATTTCATTTTGCTTGTTTTGGTCTTTTGTTTCCTTTGCTTTTAACTATATGCTTTCTCGGCGCCATGCACCTCTGGAGGGGCAGCTCTCCAACAGGGCCTGTCGTTGGGGAAAATTTTTTGCAGAACAGCTCCCTCCCCTTCAAATGTTCCTCTTCTTATAGGATTTCCTAACGCCCAGTAGCTACCATCTTTATTTTCCTGGAGTTTTTTTTCTCCAAAAAAATCCCCTGGTTTTTCCTAAAAAGCCGTCGAACGGTGGGGAGGAGGAGGGGATAGAGATCATTTCTGAAACAGGAAAAACGGAGAAAATTCAACAACTGAGAAGTTTTTTTCTCGAAGATGAATACGATTCCCCTCCTGCAGCGATGTTATACGACTCCCCGGTGGGATCCCCGAGGGACGGTGTCCTGCTCTTCAATGAGGCTTAGCAATGAATTATTGGGCGCGGAAAACCCGCGTCATGCTTCAAGGTGAGTAAGTGAAATAATCAACCGTGCGGTATGTCGGAATTTTTTCCCCGTGTGAGAGGGGATGGATGTAAATATGTTACAGCCCTCTCCCCCCGCCTTGTAGGTAGTAACTCCTTTCCAGGAACATAGCGTCCTTTTCTTTTTAGGAAGTATGATGCACATGTGAGCTTCAAACTATAGTGCCCTCTTTCCTTGTTGCTTGTTTCGAATTCGCGACCCATTCGTGCAACAGCTTTGGATTGTCCAATCCTTACTGTATGCACAATTTTTGAACCACCCGCTTGGCATCTTTTTTGTTGGAAAAAACCCGTTGTTATCAACTGATCGGGCTTATTTCCCAAAAATCCCATTACGAATCGCGGTAGTTTGTTTTGTTGTCTAAACTTACTGTTCACTGTTCAGTTTGCTCAGATGTTTCCTATTTGTCTGCAGGATCTCCTGCACGTTCACTGAATAAATACTTTTTGTGGCGGGCTCATACAAGTGACATTAGTTTGGTAAACTATTCATAAATCCCATTCCAGTGTATGCTTACTTGGTATCTACGTACGGTTATCTCAGGTTAAAAATACCGCCAATGAATGACATTCAAATAGAATTACTAGTGCTCTGATTTGAAGCCTTGAAACCAGTTTGTTTTAGGTAGCTATGTAGACGAGCGAAGTTTGTCTCCAGAAGCTGTTAGTTCATCGCGAAAGCGAGACGGTGCGACTGCGTCAGATTTCGATGCCATTGCCAAGGCTCCTCACCTCACTGCTTCTCAATTACATGGATTGTTGCAGATTGACGCATTCGCTTCAAAATATCCTCAACTGGCCAAGCTTGACGATATAGGTCAGATTTTATTATTTAATATTATAAATTATTTTCAAGACCATGGTTTATTTTGGATATTACCACCTACGCTGTAGCTGAGGTCCGTTACCTGGTAAATTTTGGGAGGTACCCATACATAATACTTTACTGACGAAAAAACATGTATTGTATATTATCAATGTGTCATACTTCGTCATTCACGTACTATGTGACGTCATTGGCACGTCATGTTTCTGCTAACAAGGAGGGTGGCCCGCGAATCTATGCTACATCAGCCGCTATCTCAGGGGCTAATGCTGTTGGAGGGGACCACGCTTCGAGAGTCGACACCACGCTCCCGCGCTTTCCTTTCATTTTTCTTCGATCCTCACCTACAGCGACCTGGAAATGTCGTCGATGTCGCACGCGACGCTCACCAGCGCGGCGAATTACAATTGTCTTGTCCCATACCCTCTTCCGCCAGACACAGGCTTGGTCGCCGCTGAACCCCCTTCAACTAAATTTACGTCCATTATTTTTTACTTTTTTTCTCAACACCAGAGCACTTTGTGGAAATCCTGTGCTTTCAACCGCTTTTTTGTGCTTAAACATATCTTACCTACGTATCTCCGTCCTTTCCCGGAAAATGTCCCATTTGCTAAGATCTCAAGAAACAATTCGTTTTTTCCGTTCTGAATACCATTTGATGAGAAGAATGATACAGCGCATTCTACAAGCGTTGTGGCTGATTTAAAGTTTTTACAGACATATCGTTGCTGTCACGTTTCCTGTACACAGAAGATGAAGTGAAGGATGAGGATGTACCATGGACGTGGGATTACATATTTGCTTCGGTCTCTACTGAATTAAGGGACGAGTGGGCACAGGAAGAAGGCGATGAATCATGAAGGCGAAATGTTTTGCTAAATTTTTGTCTGCTGGTTTTGAATGCTTGAAACAGCAGTGATTTAATTCACTAGGGGTGGGGGAGGGATGGGGAGCCGTGCTAGAGCCATTTTGTAATTCCTCGGAACTCCTGCAGAAATGCGAATTGGTGCTGATTTCTTTTTGTGCTGTATGTACCGCAACGTAATGATCCCCTAAGGTAGTTAAGGTCACAAAAACACCTCCTTTCATTGTAACCGTTTGGGTGAAAAAACATTTTTTCCTAGATTTAGTTTCGCGCCATCCCAGGGTCCGATGTTCTCATTAACATGTTCCACTTGTTCCGATCCAATGAAATCTTCTCTAGCCAAGGTCGTTCACCCCTCGGTAGCGCTCGCATACTGACCTCAGAACTTGGACAAGGGTTCTTTGCGCTATTATCCGGTTACCGCTATAACCCCCCCCCCCTTCTGATCATTTTTGTTATGATGGAGATCTCCATCAGCCCGTTTGTCAACCTAAGTTAGTAACGTCACCATCTTTGCATTACTGCAAGACATGGTTATACCTCGGGGATTAAGCAAGTATTCACATCTTTCTAGTTTACTACGATTTTTTCCAGCACAGATGCCAACTCTTTTTAGTACAGTTAAAAAAACGGAAAAATGACGTGCAGTTGAAGCTGTTGTCATTTAAATATTCTACGGTCTGCAGGATTTAGAAGTTGCCCATCACGTCGACCGGGATTTGAAAATCCCCCCCCCCCTAGCGGATTTGCAACAACAGTACCTATTGATGAAAAATGTCGTGTTTTTGTGTGTGAAGTAAATCGTTGAATGTCATTGTATTGTCACATCATAAAGGTCATAGTGTCCAATAAAATACTTTTCTCCAAAGTCGCCGCCATTTTAGAGAGCGTTCATGCTGCGCGGGTCAAACGATCGGATCGCGAAGTGTGAACGCGCTTCTATATAAACCAAATGTAAATAGGAGTGCACAGTGATTGGATAACTTCATGAGAATTCGACCAGCTGCTGTGTACCGGAATACAGTTTATATCCTCGGATGCGTCCTCATTCTTTATGCTGTTTACTGCCTTGTCGCCTACGATGACAAAAGCCATGTCGATGTGCATCGTCGACAGAAACATCTGTATCTAACAGTTTCGAGGGATAGGTCAGTCCATTTCAAGGATGTTACTAGTTTTCTGATACAGTCTGGCACCAGTTCAGCATGGCGTAAGGGTTTTGGTGCAGAGCTTCATGACCGCTACACGGAATTTTCTTTTACTATAAACGGATTGACAAGGCTGCTCTACAGTCTTGTTCACTGCGGACACTTGGGCGTGTCAGGTGGCCAAGATTTGGCGTGGTGCCACCAATTGTGGAAGCTGGCAGGCGACCAGAAAACTGGCCGGCGCCGTGCCGATGCCGAACCCAGCCCTCCTGACATGCCCCAGCGTCCGCAGCGAACAAGGCAGTATGTGGCTCAGAAGTGGTTTATCTGCAATTTTGCGCCAGCGCTATGATAGCTCGCAGTTTTCGAGAAAGAGAAAGCCCAACTTAGGTGAACACTCACCATTTGGGAAAACTTAATTTTTCCGAAGTTGCCCATGAACCACAAAGCTTCTTGAGATCGCAGGCTACCATGCAGGTCACTAGATGTTGACGAAAGAAGGCTGGCTCCTCCCAAGGCATTTAGCGCCGTATAAGTTTCTTGCCTGAGTGCAAGAAAAGGGTAGGAGCTTTGAAGGTTGTGAAACTGGCATCCCCTTCGCATTCCTTTTCCTAGCCTTATGTTCAAGTGCTCTTCCCGTAGCCCACAACTACGGCTCCACATCTTTCAGCTCTAATGTCGCCCAATGTGAAAGAAAAAAAAATAGAAATGAAGCTATTAATATTACGTAGCCTTAAAAAGGCTTGCATAATTGCGGTTACCGTATTTCGATGGGCTTTTGCAACAACATGTTTATCTTATTGAACTAACGTCTAATTTGCACTTCCATTCATATAAAGGGCAAATTATTTGTACAAATGGATCAAGTCCTAGGGACATAGTTAGGTGAGTATGTTCAAAGTGCTGCATAAGCATTTGTTGAAAAAAATTGCACATTTCCAAAGGACTGATATTTTACTATCTTAGAACAAAAAGGAAACGTAGTCTGCCAGAATGAAAGCGGGAGAGCTTTGCAACCAAAGGGTATTGCCATTGTTTTTTGCTATTACTGCTTGGAGTGGATTGTCGAGCCTGTTCTTTGTCGAAGTGCTGAGACGCCGCACAAGGCTTGTATCAGGTTTCTTCAGGCAGATCTCGTTGATCAACTGTTGGATTGTTTCGGCTTGACTACCTTTCACGTATCCCATGTTCTTTCGGAAGGTGCTCAACATTTCAAGTTATTGTCCAATTGTAGCCACAGAAGATCCTCACGGGAGGCCCTCATTTGGTTTTGACGGCATTTCGCTCGGGCCGGGAATCTCTTCTTCTTCGTGTGGTCGCTGTCCGCAGTCGAATCTGATTTGAAGTCCTTTCTCAGCCAGACCTAACGCTTTTCTTAGGGGGTATTTCTGAATTCTTCCGCCTACCAAGGCTGGCCTAGGTGTGATGTTTTCGATTATCACAATTCTCGGATGTGGCTATATTGTCGTTAGGCGTTCTCTCCCTTGGCCAGAAAGTGCCTCACACTAAAGGGATCGCCGAGACTTCCCCTCAGAGCTTGTGCTTTTCGTTATTGCCATCAAGGGACAATTTCTAGGAGATTAAGCCGTCCAGCAGGCAAATCTAAAAATATAATGTGAATAGAAGAGGCGCAGATAATCTCCCTGAACTGTGCTGCGTTTTCTCATTAGAATGTCTTATTTCCATTCTTATTTTCAAACTTCTCTTCTGAACAACTTGGGCATAATTTGCTGAACAGCTGTTTGGGGTTTTTGGTGGCATGTAACTGGAATTTCGTTGGATATTTCATTTAAAAACCCCTTTGCATCATCTGAACCTTAATAATCATTCCCATTCTGACTTGAAATTCTGGCACCATAGGATAACGCGATAGTGAAAACAGTTTCGGCAACTTTTTTCACAAAAACTGTCTTAAGTTGAACCACTTGGACTATAAATTTCTTAGCTACCTAACCTCAGTAACGATTAGGTAACTAGGAGATCTGTAGCCAGGTCTGCACCATACGGTTTCCCACTTTCTTCAACATCTGCATTTTGTAGAATATATTAGCTTTCAAAAACCCAGGAAGGGCGTTCGAAGAAGAATTCTCCCGACCCCAGGAAGCAACTATGATGGTATTCATAATATTGTTTCATATTCCTTACAGTATGTACTTTCGGATGGTTTTCACCTCAAATTAGCTCTTTTTTGTCAAACTTTAGTTTCGTTTTATTTTTGCGTTGTGCTTAGAGGTACTTTCTGCTATAAAAAAGACTACGATCTCTCAAATGTGTCAGAAGATTCGAAAGGAGATTTTGGAGGCTGTGCTACCTCCAAAAAGTGAAAGTTGGGGATAATTCCGCTGAAAGCTGACCAGTTAGGTCCATGGGCACCCCTTACGCCCATGCCGACCCCTTTGGCTGCTAGCTACTACATAGTCGCCACTATGCTAGTCATCTTCATATGGTGAATATTGAGATTCTTTGTATCTATCCATCGTAATGATAAGACATGGATATTCGGTAAAGTCGCCTTCTCTTCATTGCATGCGCGCACAAGTTGGGATCGAAACTGAGTCCTATTTAGGGGATTTCGGACTGTTTCTCTGTTTCTTTTCTCCACTAATCAGTTACCTAGCACTTTTTCGTTCGTCTGTAAGCAGCGTTACCCGCAATCTATGGCCGCCGGCTTTGCCTTTAGGACAGACTGGTTTCATACACAACCAGTCTCCATAATTCATTAACCGAAATTTCACAACTCTTTTGACTAGTCGCTTGAGAAGCAGAAAGGCCGTAGATGCAGGAGATGCTTCAGTTTGAGAAAACTTAACTCCGATCTCACTTGAAATTAAAAAAAATTAGATGTTTGGAACATGACAGTTTGGCGCTGTTCCATCAGAGTGGGCCAAATCATGGCCCTAGCTGCTCATGACGAAACACCTGGCTACACGTAGACAAATGAACGTGATGCATGCAGTGCAACGTGCTGTACGCATGGATCACAAATGTTCTCAATTGAGCGAAATTTTAATTAAGGTTTCAGTGTGCTCGAGTGAAACACTATTGTCCTCCTTTTGTGTTCAGAATTGCAAATCGATTTGAAAAATTGGCTCCAAAACGGATTTTGATGTGGACGAAGGTGTTTCGGGAAGAGAAGAAAGTCGATTTCAGTGACTGCAAAGGGTTTTCGGTATGTTTATTAAACTGTTCATCGAACTTACACGAGAATCCCAGCGGGTCGATCCGGCTATTCGCAATGAAGTATAGACCTTGAGTCTAACTTCCCAATGTGCCGAACTAGTTTCTGAAGAAAGTAACCAGTTACACTGTCTCATACACTATCACACAGAGGCGCTTATGTTAAGCAGCGTTCAGACTTCGCGACGGCAGCGCTTCGGTCGCGCGTTCGACGCGATCGATGCAGTTAAAAGCATGCGCATCGATCGCGCCGAACGCGCGACCGAGGCGCTGCCGTCGCGAAGTCTGAACGCTGCCTTATGTGTACAAGTTGATATTGTCGCAATCCGGCGGGGCGTTGTTAGTAGGCGTAGAATGAGTCCATTTTCCACCATTACCTGTTTTCTACTCAAATCATCCACAACGGTTTTCTTGCAAAATGCTTATGCTTTCTATTCTCAGCGTGTCAGATAACCCTTCTTCACAAGTTCATAGCTATTATTATAAGTCTTTCAGCCAGTTTACGGCTTTCAGTGGTCCAGTGCTTCCCACCGCAATGTGCCTGAAAGAAAATGCCTCATCTTAACCCCTTTCAGCGAATAATTGCGCAGGTTTGAAAGCAGATTTAACTTCAGCGTCTTGCGGTATATGTTGGTCCATCCCTCTCCAGTATACGGTGAATTTTTCCGGAATTTGCAAATGGCCGGGTCGACCTGTTGGTGTTCTGCTATTGCTCACAGAGCATCAGTATCCTGCCCACATCATTAATTTTGTCTTTTTTTGCAAAGTGTAAGATGTGACGTGTTCTGAACAGGTGGCACCAAAAATCATAAAATGATAGAAACAACAAACAGGTTTTTGGATACTGCTAAGGGTAAATGTGTCAAGTAGTAGGATGAAGTCTCTAGGCCCAGGGTCTGCATATTTTCGGGGCAAAATTGGAGGTAATTTCGGCGCAAATGAAATAGATTTTTCAGGATCGCTGCATTGCAACTTACAACAAGTCGTTGATAAGCGCTGCAGATGCAGTCGTGTTTCATGCTGCCGACATAGCTGACGGACCTCTTCCAGAAGCAGAAGACCGTCTGCCGCATCAGCGATATGTGTTCATGAGCATGGAAACACCATTGAATAGTGGATTGCACGCAGTACCGTGTAGGTCATTTCATCCGAAGTGTTTGGGCCTCGAGGCAGTTGGTGGTGGTTTGTGATGATGAGGAAGGGGTCACTCTATAGCATCTGTCCCTCTTAAAAACCAGGTCTTACGCTTTGTGGAGACTCTTTTCTCTGCGAAATTACCCAATCGCAACTCTGCTCGTCTGCATTGTAACCATGAGCCCAAGATTCGGAAGGGAAAGGACGGAGGCGTCCAACTATGTTATCTCCGTAAGTGCAAGCCAAACACCTGATATAAAATCGCTGTGAACACGGGAAGCCGGGTCAATGGATGTGTTAATCCTTGCTGTTTTCTTTTGGACAATCGATAATGAAGCTAGTCATCTTCCGAATGTGAGGAATATTATGAAGGGTCGGGAGTGAGGGGAAAACTGCCACCCTACTTACTGCCCAGCATATCACTTTTGAAAGTCCAGTGGCTGCTTCCTGAACAAGGAAACTTTCCAGGTAATTTCTCAATTGAGGAGACATTGTGCTGTCGTCAGATGTTGTTCATAAATATGAGTGGGATATTTCCTCCCCCGAACGTAGCGCGAAGAAAATGGGCTCAAAGTTTTCACCGGAGTTTGTTAAGAGCCCTCTTCACTGCCTTTATTTGTGTCACGACCCACTATTCGATTCAACCTGCAAAGATGTGAGCGAGGGCGTGGAAGGGGCGGGGGGTTAAGGGTAGAAGAATCGTTGAAGGATGTTCCACAAAAACCTGTGATATTATCTTTGCCACTTCCACTCTATCACAGTTTATGAGCAGCTTCAGCTCGTCCCTTCAGTTCTTATAAATTTTCTCCTATCGTCTGGACCCTCTCCCTACACTCCATATCTCCTGAGACGCATGGGCGTGCGTGAGCACTGAACACTGTTCAACGCGTGCGTGCGCGTTGAACAAAGACACGCTTATAGTTGTCTCTAAATGGAAATGTCCTACCAAAGTCGCCGCCATCTAAAAAAACGCGTACGTAGCCAGCCTAGTTCAGCGATTTTGGAGCCACATAGTGTGACCACTGTGCCCCTTCGAATTATTGCTTTTCGCTTGCAATAAGTTACCCGACTAGTCCTGTAAATAGCATGAGCTCCGTCTAAACTTAGCTATTAGGTTGTCCGGAAAGTTCTCAGCGTTTTGGGTGTTTCACTTTAAACGATCGTAACTTTTTTAATACTCATCGGATTTAATCGAAATAGGCACCATTCGAATCAGCACACTTTTGCCAATGTGACAGCAGTCGAGAAATCCCATCAAAGTAAAAACTGGGTGGTCGAAAATTCACGAAATCCACGAAGGCTTTTTTGCCTGGTCCTGATTGAGTATTTTCCAGCAAGGGAGTTCTGAAAATGTTAGAAAAGGTGATAGTCGTTGGCGAAAGGTCTGAAGAATATGGCGGTTGAGGTAGAACTTCAACCCCCAATTCGTTCAATTTATGGATAGTGATTTGTGAAACGTGTGGGCGGGCGTTGTCATGCAAAGGAATCGGACCCTTTCTTTTGATAAGTGTTGGCTGCATCTGACAAAATTTTCGGTACAATTCGTCGATTTCTTCACAGTAGGGTTCTGCTGTGATGGTTTGGCCTGGTGATAAAAAGTTATAGTGGATCACACCAGCCGATGACCACCAAGCCGTGACCAGAATCTTTTTTTCGTGAGGGTTCGGCTTTGGTTTGGCTTTCGTCGAAAATTACCTCGGTGGTT